GACTTTGCTGAGTTATAAATGCTGGTTCCAAATTCAGCATTGAGCAGATCTAGTTAAGATTTTTCTTTTTTTCTTCTAGATTTCCTATCTTACACCTATCCACGCTGAAGCTCATTTATCAACCTCTTGCCCACTTAAGTCCCTCCAATGAGGCCTTTCAGGAGCTGTACTGAATTTCACTACCCAAATGAGCTTACTATTACCTATGAACTCAGAGATGTCAGGGTTCATTACCTTTTGTAGGTCATTGGAGACAATTAATAAAACTGGTCGAAGTGTGGAGAACTCTACTTATGAATTTTCCTCRTGGTAAAAAATCCATTAAACTCTATCCCTTGTTTTCTGTTATCTAACCAGCTTTCAGTCCACAAAGAAAATTCTTCAGTCCCATGACACTTTTGTTTCTTTAATAACATTGCTGTGGAATGTTATGTATATTCATATCCCCTTTATTTACTTGCATGCTGGCAKCTTCATAGAATTGGAGAAAASTAGTCAGACAGGATTTCCCAYTGAAGAAACTTCTGACTTCTGCAASAATCTTAATCTGTGTGCTCTGTTAGTCTTTATTTCACCATCTTGTCAGGGACAGCAATGAGCCTTCCCAGTCTACTGGATCAGAGTCTCTTTTGTAAATAGCTTTTTCCAGATTACTGTTTCTAGCTTTACACCAAGGAAAAGAAYTATCTATGGGTATCTTTATCTAAGGAAAAAAAAAGGTAGTTTTTTAGAATATTCTGTGAACAAGCTCAGAAGCCCTGGTTCCTAATCTAGGTCGAGAGCTAGGTGGAATCAATGACTTGGGCTTGGAAAGTTTTAGCTAAGCTTTGATTTTTACAAAAAGTAGTATTTTGAAAAATGAAAATTTAACCAATAAAAAATTGATCTCATCTGTATTGTTTATTTAGGTTGGAACCCTGATATCTTGTCTTCTTTCCATTTTTCATGAGAAGGGATCAGTTTTACCAGAGATTACATACAGAGATCTGTAAATGAGGGATGTCATGATCTCGTAGCGATATAATACGTGGCAGCTCATTTGTATAAGCACTCATTTTTACCACTACAATCTTGGAGTACCACAGCACTAAAAATAGTATTGAAGTGGTGAAAATGGCTGTAATCATTGACATTTTTCAATTTCCTACATAGCTGAGTAAGAGGCTGGAGAGGTTTCAGTCAACACTTCATCCTCTGTTTTGTAAACCAACCAATTACTTCTTCAATGACATTTTTGCATGTGGCATGTTGGTCACAATTTGGAAGTAGACTCTACATGCTGAGTCACAGGTTTAGACTACAGAGTTAAATTTTAGCAAATATACTATTCATTAAAATTACTTATCTAAGTAAATATTTTTGCTGTCATATTAAATGAAACAGGGTATCTATAAAATATTTATGGAAAAGTTACAAATTTTAAGTTKGTGCAAATTGACAGAAACACTTGACTATAAACCCTATTTATTAGTTGATACAGTTTGAAATTTGATCTAGTTCTGTMTTTCTGGAGCTATTTAGTGAATGTTACAATCACTTTTTTTAATAAAGTGTTTTTGAAATCTGGTATAAACCACCACAGACCAAAGTTAAGAAAAACTTAATTTTACAATGAAGAATTGCATTATACACCATGTGAACAATTATACTGGATATTGCATGCTAGTACTAGAGCAATTTTTTTTTTCAGCTAATGAAATCTATCATGGTATCTTAGACTGAAAAAGACCATTATGTTCTATACAGGATATKAAAATGTTCATTGGTAGATTACCAGCAAGCCTAAATAATCAATTTCCTATATTAATTTAGGTAAATTGGTTGTGTAAAGATTACCTTAATGATACATACATGCAATTCACTGCTTAAAATGATTTAAAAGAGAATTTAAACGARAATAACTAAGCTGAACAAAGATGGATGCTGAAATTGTATCTGCATTTGTAATTGTTCTGTTTCAAATAAATTATTTTGCATATTGCGCAGAAAGTGTGCGTGCTAGGGAGTACAGACTGCCTCTAGAGACAGCGGGCTCAAAAAGGAGACATGAAAGGAAGCTCAATAATGTGGAGAAAAGCAGTCCTGGCTCCATCTGCTGTCTGGTTTTTTACTCTCCCTTTTTTTTGTTCTTGGCATCTTCTTTCTTGGGGTATTTGGGGTAGTTCAGCCCTATAGTTCTTTGAACAGAGACTGATTTTTAAATACGCTTCTGCTTTTGCCTGCTATTGACCCAACTATTTTGTTTTGTGGTTTTGAGCACCATTGATAGTTGTGTTCTATTTTGTTCCTACTGGACACAACTCAGTTTAAGTAGGAATGTTTTTTTTTTTGGTCACTCTAGAATCAAGTTATTAAAATTAATTTTAATTTTGACCTTGGCTTCTTTTGCATCTCTCTTAGTAAATGGTGTAAGGAAGTTCAGGCAGAGTCCTAGAATTGTAATTCATCCTTACACACACATACACATGAGCTGTATCAATGCACCATTGAAAAGTCTACTCCATATATTGGCTTTTCATGTGAATTTTTGTCACAGTCCTTGAAAGTTGAAGGGTTCTTGGACCAAAGCTGACACCGAGAACTTGGGAGTTTGGAGTGTTACAGCTTTTCCGTGTTCTTTTGTTGAATAGGTTTAAACTTCAGACTAATTTCTGAGGCTGCTCTAATTTGTGCCAAAACCTGAGTCACAGAGACATCTTTTTCTGCCCTAATTCTGTACTGTAGAACTTGGCCCTCCTTCCAAAATGGTTTTGTTCTTTTAGAGTCCTAATAAATACCAGTATTTTACTGATATTTACTTGTGTCATTTACAGTGTCATTTACTTGGATGTTCAGTAGATTTCAACCATGTTTAAAAATATTTTACAAATGGTAGAATTTTACATTCACAAAAAACTCCGAATTGGAATTAGTCTGAATACTCAGATTTGGAAAATGGCTGCAAAATAGAAATAGCGCTTTTGAGTCAATCTTAGAGTTCAAAATTTTTATTGAGCTGTGATCCTGAAAAAAWGTACAACATTGTTCTTTTAAAACAGTTCTATCTCAAATATGGGACCCAATCAAAATTTTCAAATGGGAAGTCTGACTCTAGGTTGCAGAAATACTGAAAATACAATGCACATACTAAATATGTCAGCAAGGATGCATATAGTTCTTTAGAAATATTTATCTTTGCATTCTTAGATCTTAAAAATAGTACTGAAAGTTCCAGTCATAGCTAAATATTAGAGAAGCTTACTGTGACTGGAACTCATAGGAATTCAACCTTTATTATAGAAAGGCTTTCTAAAATTAATAATTAAATAATAATAATTGGTGAAATAAATGTTTTTTTTCAGATAAGGAAGAACATTTGTTCACTAGAATACAGAAATTTCAAATATAATAGCAAATTAGTAATGCTAAATATTTAACACACTAGAAAATACTGTAATCCATGATTCTTATGTTTTTGTGACATGAGAGGTAAAACCATTTTTATGGTGTATAAAAGTCTGGTCCCAGCTTAGATATCAGAATAAAAAAACTTTATATTTGAATAATTCTAACACTTAAGAAGATGAGAAGGTTAAAAAAAACCCCAAAACACAARGCAAACCAAACCAGAAACAGAACTGGGATATTTGATAAATGCCTACATTAACATAAAAAGTGAGTTACTTTTCTACAGCTTACTGAAGTAGCAAATGCTTCTGGGTTTTTTTCAGCCTAGAAACTAATAATTAGACATTCTTTAAACAATCTCCCTTATCAGCAATAATTATGATACAAGACAAGTAAGATCTCTTTTAAGGACGTGGTTATTTGCTGAAAAACATCCATTTGGTTGTTCCCAAACTGTTYGTGAATATCAGTTCAAGTGTTTCCAGCTGTAGTGGAGTGATACAGCTGTGGCATCATCAACTGCCTTTTACTCAACAGGTCTGCAGTTAAGGAGTCCCTTTTGTTGAAGTTGTTGAATGCTTCAGCAGACGTAGCCCTTGAAYGAGATAATTTTAAGGAAGAGGAAAATAGCTTAAAAAGTTACATTTSATTCAGTTCAAAGTGCTTCCTCTCCAATTCCAACCACTTACTAAAAAAAGTCAATCCTAGAGTTCAAGGTTTTATGATGTTAAATAAGACAAACCATTATTATTGTAYTGAAAAAGTATTTTTAGGTAAGTAGTCACACATAAAAATTTAATTACATTTCATTTTTATGTGAATTTTTATAGTCTAGTCTTGTTATTTTCAGTTTAGTCTGATGTTATTGTTCTCCTTCATCAGATTCTTTCTCGTAAGAATTGGGCAAGTCATGTTGGTCATAACCTCCAGGTTAAGATAACTAAAAATATTGAGACAGTCTTTAAGGATGTGTTGTATCATCCTCAGTTTATTTATTCCCCAAAGTATCTCTGCAAAAATTAGAATTAAAAGCATAGCATTATAAATAAAGATTAAGAAAGGGTGAGTGGTTCAGTTGCTCACTTTGAGAACATCTTCTCTGGCATCTTTGTTTTTTTAATTGATATTAAGGGTTTTTACCTCATAAACTTGATTCAGGTTATTGGTTTATTGGATCTCTTCCCCTGGATTTATTCCATTTCTTTCTGTTCTGTTGAGGCTGAGGCTGTTTCTGACAGTGTTTTGAAAGCATATTATGTGTCTTTTTTTTCAGTTTACAGTTCAGCTGCCCTGCATATTAAGGTTATCTTTCAGTATGCCACTTCAGTAGTGTATACCAGTTGTATAATAACATACACTTTGCAATCTTCTTTCTTGCAATAAAACAATTTAAAATGTTACTGAGTAAAAAGCATAACTAGAAATTCATGGGAACAAAATTCACCTCTATATTCAAAACCTTGTATCTTTTAAAATACTTCTCTTGCAATGTGTTGAAAATGCTACAACATACAGAAAAAAATAGATTATTCTTCTTCTACATGTAACATCAAACATTCTTGCTATTCTCTGTGGTTGCAGTTGATTCACTTTGCTCATTTGCTCTATTTCAGACGGTTCGCCATGGCTTTCCTTACCTACCCACTGCCTTAGCTTTTGACCCCGTTCAGAAAATTCTGGCAATTGGAACAAGAACAGGAGCCATACGAATGTATCCTTTCTCATTCAGAATTTGCAGCATTTCTATGTRTTTATAATACAGGGATGTGAATTACCTTCCACGAGCGCTCAGGTAAGGTTACAGTTGTTATTTTCATTTTTTTTAATTGTTTTATTTCATTTTGCTGTATGAGATGGATGAATAAAAGATGTGCTGCTGAGGAATTAGCCAGGTCWTGAAAAAGCTCAAAGAAAAAATTCTGATTGAGTTTTAGCATCTTGAGTTTTGGCATATATTGGTTAAGATAAAACAGAGCAGTTCTTTTTCAGCCTGAAAAGTGAAAGTGGACAGCAAAGTGGTAATGAGCAAGTTGTGAAGGTTTTGCTAGCAATAAATAAATTCATTGCCGCAGTGCAGTTGGCCAATGTTAGATTGCAGTTAGATGGTTATGTGTGAAATTATTTGGACTCTTTCAAGTGGATGGTGGGAAATAAGTGATTTTAGGGCAGAATTCATCTCTCCCTGAAGGRGAAGGTAAAGCACTGTAAATATGCCTATTTCTTATAATTAATTATAAAGGTACTTCATTGCCAGCAATTTATATGGGTTTTTTTTTAATACAGTAGGATTTTTAATTTAGAAGTTGTCACAGAATAAATTTAATCACCAAGTAATTAAAATTTGAAGACTTTTTTTGAAAAAAAAGAATATTTAAATGTGATRTATTTCAGAATGATTCTCTACATAATTTTCTTATTTTGGCATGGTTTCAATGTATTCCAATTTGGTGAAAATTTATATAAAGCAAGGAAAAAAAAAAGGAGAAAAAATATTACCGGAAGGTTTAAAAGTCACAGGATACAGAGCTAGTAAAGCAATATTTTTTGCAAACTTTTTGTAGCCAAATAAACTGTTTGTTTGAAGTAGGGGACAATGCTGTATGAAACATCAATATAATATTTTCTGGTTCTTTTGCTGTCCCTGTTCCCAAAGTAACAATAAATGTAATGAAGCCTGCTGTATCCAAAGGCAGGTTACAAAGTGAAGAAAAATCTCATGCTTCATGTAACATGATTAAAACTTTGGTTCCTCCATTWTTTGTTACTCTTGGTCTGAACAGTTGTATTTTCATAAGCCTCAATTTCTGTCTGATCCAGAATTTCTCACAAGATTCAACTAAACCTCAAGTTATGTAACAAAACTTTGCTTTGATAGTTCCGCTCTTAATTTCTTACCTATGTGAAGTACATTGAATATAATCTGTTCAAATGCAAAGAAAATTCCCTTGAATTTGTGCACTTCTAGGAGGTAMGAGTCCAATCATCATGGTTTATTTTTTTTAGAGGTATGCAAGTTTAAAAAGCAGAGGTTTTTTCCCTGGAAGCTTCACTGGTATCTTTAGAGTCAGGGAATTGGGAGTTTCATGGTAGAAGTAGGAAGAAAACCTTGCAGAAGATTGAATCCTGAGCCCACCTCTTTTTCCATCTCAGCAATCTGATCTTTCCWGGAGCAGTGCTGTCACTGGCTAGACAATCCTGTATCTTTACAAGTCCCTGCTTTGAGGAAAATTCAGGTACAGAGCCTGAATTAATACAGATTCATATAGAATTAATTTAAACCTGCATGTCTCCTGCCACAGGAATGGAACATGAAATGGAGAAAACAGCTATATACCTAAGCTTATATAAAATTCTCTATATATCTTCTATAAAAATGTATTATAAAGAGTTAGCAGGAAAAAAAAAAAGAATGTTTTTCAAAGTGTCCTTTTTCTTAATGTATCTTCTCCAGTTTTGCTAGCAAACTCCTACCTCATTCATGGAGAAATTTCTACTAGTTCTAGTATCTGAATCAAACAAGAGCATCAGAATTACCAGGGAATTYGATTTTTTTTTTTGGGAAGATATTTCAAAACATAAATGCTTCTCAGCTTAGTCACAGAGAGCCTGGTTTGCTTAATTGAGCCCTGAGTTAATGGAAACTGTGCTTTGAAGACAGAGGRTGCTGTAAAAAGAATTCATTTTATTCATTTTAACTGAGGTTTCTCCACTTGGCTCCAAGTTTTACAGAACATACTACATAAAAAACCTACTTGTGGAATAATAACTTTGCAGTGAAACAGGGCCTAGGGCTACACCCAGCAAACCACTTATTCAAGCCAGTCTTGTTGAGACATTTGTAATTGTTGAAATCAAGCAATAAAAATTCAAGTCAAGATGTAGCAGATTAAGTATTACTTCTCAAAGTACAATTCACAATGGACTTTTTTTTTTAGCAAACTGAAGAAAATACAGGTTTTAGTGACTCTAAGTCTTGCTCAGTATCCTGTAAAAATACTTTTTAACAGAACCTCACAATTTCATTCTGCCAGGTAACAAAAAGGGARGTCTTTCCATACATGCATTGTGTTTGGTTGGTGTTTCTAAACAGTRCTGCTGATGGAGTGAAAGGACAGACTACTTGGCTGCCATCAGAGAGATTCACCCAATTTCTTATTTTACTGGTAGAACCAAAGGGACTTGGTTTGGATCAGACTCTGTTGTTTAAGCGACACAAAGGGATGGGAACTCTGAATTTATATTTAGTGTTCATGGAATGATGTGGAACAAGTTTTCCTGTGATGAGTGCAAGTCACATAATGATATTGTTGCTTTCTTGTCTTTCTAAAAGATTCTCAAAGTATTGGTCACAAGTTAACAAAAGATAAGCTGTTAAAAAAGAAAGAAAAAGCAGCATGTACTTCTGTGTTGCGAGTTAATGTAACATCAGGCCTTCAGGTGATCATTTCGAGTGATCCAGCAGCAGTACTRAAGTTGACTATGTTAAATTATCCTGAAATAGAGCATATTATTCATGAGCTGCCACTAGAATGCAGAGATAAATTAAAGTTCATTTTGGTATGGCAGTCAATTTGTCTTCTAGATTTCTTTTCAGGGTGCTTAGATGCAATTGCTCTGTAGCACTGGGAATTGCTGTTGTTATGGCCTGTTGATCCTAGCAGGAAATCTCTGTGGATTTCCCAAGCAACAGCTTTAGGCTTTACCTACAGTGGTGACTGCTGAGTACTGGATCCTCATAGGTCCAGCCCACAGAATCAGACTGCACTGCAGCTCAAAGAGTTGAGAAATTAAGATACTTGGTCAGACTTAAGTCTCTTCTTGATTTCAGAGGAAAAGGAGAAGCCTGGGGGTTTGTCACATTCTCAGTCTGAGTAAATAGGTTAAAATCAGTGTTGTTAACARTGATTATTCCAGTAACAGATCTGAAGAAATGGTGTGTTGTGCTCAGATTTCAGGATGCAGATTTCTGTATTGTCATTTATTCAGCTCACAAATGCTCGTTAAAATTCATTAGAAATACTTTCTGCAGTCACTGAGTTCTTTCCTTTGGAGTTCTTTCATTGCATCAGTGCTGTGCAGAGACATTACAACCACCTACTTCAAACACATAGAATACAATATCTGCATTTTATTTTTATCAAGCTGCTGATTATTTAGTGGTCAGTTGCAGTAAGAAATTCTGAAGGAAACTTTTCTATAGCTATTATTATCTTTGCTTATTATGAAATGAGAGGAAGTTTGTCTTGAATCTAGTACAAAAAACCCCATCTACTGGGTCCAGAATCGTCTCCACACCACTGAAAAATTATTCACCAACAAGCAGGCTTAAATTAGTAGTGTTTTCTGTGAATTATAGTGCAGTCTGCTGTTATTAATACATATTCTTTGGACTTACAGGCTCCATATTGTCATGGATGCAGGTTGTAAATGCAAATCATCATTTTTACTGGGAGTTGCTTGAGCATGCAAATCTTCATTTTTACTGGGAGTTGCTTGAGCAAAACCATAAGCTCTATGCAACACCATATTCCAATAGGCATAGCTCCATGTGATCCATGTTATCAGACTGTAGAGTGGCCATTTTATACGCAGGCAGACAAAACATTCTTCTGACTCACTAACACATGACAGTGGAAGCATTTTTCTGTCCCCACCTTTAGCTTAGTTGCACAGTCCTGACACTTCCTTTGCTCCAATTCTGGCACTTGTCAGATATACTGCTGTGAGCAATCCAATGCACTAGCCTGGCAAAATACCAGTTCTTTTGCTGTGCTACTTTTTTTTGCCAGATTAGCAAACTGATTTATCTGGTGCTTACCTCCAGTGTTAGTCAGAATGATGCATAATGAAAGTGGAAGGAGTGCAGTTGAGACTGGACAGAGAGGGAAAAGGGGAAGAAACAAAATTTTGGCACTAAGGAGCAAGTTATTAAATTGACTTCTCTTATTGCATCTGATAAATCCAGGTATGGCAGATTGCAGCTGTTGATGACATTTCAAAATCTACATTTCAAAATGTAGAAAGAGCCTTTCAATTTTAAGTGGTRTGGAAGAYAGCATSTCTTTCACTTACATTTTAAAAATCTTCATGCAAAGCCATTTGCAAATCACAAGAATTCTACTGGTTCTGATCAAGAGAGATTCTTCTTTAGGATCATATTKGAAATAACTTTTTCTGGCCTGTTTGATGTGTTTCTTCCAATGCTTTAATAGCAAGAGTGATTTTTGAATGTCAAATTTTTGAATGTAAAGGGGAAGGTGAAATCTAAACCCAAGATAGCTCTGTTGAATGTCATGGATCCTCAGCAGCTGATGTATACAGAGTGTATTCCTGCGAGGTAAAACTGAGGCTGTTTGTGCACTCTAGAAAAAAAAGAAAATCCGGCAAAGAAAATAAATAGCACTAATTAAATCATTGCTGGCAGAGTTCTGAGTAGGCATGGAATTTTACAGTAGCTAAAGGAAATGTGGTAAAGAATGTTTGACATCAGGTTGGATGTACTTGAAAAGAAAAGAGGAGAATATAACTTGAATTTTTGGTTGTGAGAAGGATGGCATAAAAGCTAAATATAAAGTGTGACAGATTTACTCTCCTTGGAGCTGCCATCTTTTAATCTAAACAAGGTTTCAATAGTTCTTTATCCTTAAAATAAGCCAACTGTGTTCTGTGCTGTTTACTCTATGTGATTTATTGGGCAGATGGAATGGGGGT